AGCCTCCTCCCGCCCTCCAAACTCTTTGTCCCCAACCTGGAGCCAGCTCCTGCACCCCAAACGCCTCATCCCTGGCCCCACCCCCAAGCCCATAACCCCAGCCAGAGCCTGAACCCCCTCCCAGACCCTCACCCCCTGGCCCAACCCCGCGCCAGCTCCTGCACCCCAACCCCCTGCCTCAGTCCGGAGCCCACTCTTGCACCCAGAACCTCTGATTTCTGGCCCAACCCCAGAGCCCGCACCCCCAGATGGAGCCCTCACCCCCTCCCGCACTCTAACTCCCTCCCAGACCCTGCACCCCCACCCATACCCCAACCCTTTGCCTCAGGTCAGAACCCCCTCCCTCACCCAAACTCCCTCCTGGAGCCTGCACCCCGCATCCCCTCCCACACTCCAATGCCCTGCCTTAGCCCTGAGCCTCCTCCCGCACTCCAAACTCTTTGTCCCCAACCTGGAGCCCCCTCCTGCACCCCAAACGCCTCATCCCTGGCCCCACCCCCAAGCCCATAACCCCAGCCAGAGCCTGAACCCCCTCCCAGACCCTCACCCCCTGGCCCAACCCTGAGCCTGCTCCTGCACTCCAAACCCTTTGGCCCCAGCCCGGAGCCCCCTACTGCATCCCAACCCCCTCATCCCCAGCTCCACCCCAGAGCCAGCACCCCCAGGCAGAACCCTCACCCCTTCCCGCACCCCAACCCTCTGCCTCAGTCTGGAGCCCACTCTTGCACCCTGAACCTCTGATTTCTGGCCCAACCCCGGAGCCCACACCCCCAGATGGAGCCCTCACCCCCTCCCGCACCCCAACCTCCTGTCCCAGCCCACTGAAAGTGAGTGAGGGTGGGGGACAGCGAGCGATGGAGGGAGGGGGACTAGAGTGAGTGGGGGCAGGGCCTTGGGGAACGGGTAGGGCCAGGGTGTTCCATTTTGTGAAATTAGAAAGTTGCCAACCCTGGGTGATGCCCTGCTCTGTATATAGTCGCGAGAGCGTGGCTGACAACATTCTAGGAGGCTGGAGGAAAATGTAGTTCTCAGAAAATCTGGAAGGTTTCATGAGATCCTAGAAAGGTCCAGAACATTCTAGGAGGCTAGTGAAAAATGAATCCACATATGGAATACCTGAAACATTTTACTTCAAACATTCTGGTTTCCCTTTTGTCGCTAACGACAAAAACAGCACCCCGAGCCCGGCACCCCACAAACCTGGCACCCTAGGTGGTTGCCTGGGTCACCTGCCCATAAATCTAGCCCTGTTGCCATCTCCCATTGAGGCTAAGAATGATGGGCCTGATTCTCTTCTCACATATATCAGTGTAAATCAGGAAAAATGCACTGAAATCAATGGCCGTCATATGGTGTAAGGGACAGGAGAAGGAGGCCCAGCATTTCACAGTATCTCCCCTCACTGATCCTATTAAAGGGCCTGAAGCTAGACAGCCAGATTCTCAGCTAGTGGAAATTTAAGAAGCTATATTACATTTGGCCTTAATTTTCTTTCCACTCAGGGCAGAGAGAGCGAGCTCTGGGAGTGAGGATAAAATGTTTATTGGGAGATGCGATGTTTCTGGATCTCTCTATAAAGAGCCAAGTGGGATGTCAGCTGGGGGTAATGGGCAGAATCCTCATCTGTTGTAAATCAGCAAAGGTCTGTTGTAGTCAGTGGTGCTACACTGATTTACACTAGCTGAGGATCTGGCCCTATATAATGAAAAGGGAAATGAAGGAAACTTATTAAATAAAAGTTTTATTTAACTTTTTAAAATTGTAATTTTATTGAACTGTTTCTTATATCTTATTATACCTGTTAATAAAAGGTTCTCTCTCTCTCTCTTTCTGTATATATACATATATTTAATGGTGGTGGTTGCAACAGGAGAAGGTGCCAGTGATAACTTGACACAAGACCCCAAACCACGCTTATGTGTTTAATGTTGTAACAGTACAAAAGGGTTTTAATATTACCGCAGCCCAATAGGCCCAAGGCATCAACCCAACAGACTAAGATTCTATTCCCAGTGCTGGGAAGGGAGCAGGTTATAACAGTTAGAGCACAAGAGACTGAGAGTCAGGAAACCTGGGTTCTATTCTTAGTTCTACTGCTGATTTGTGGGGTTGCTTTGTTCAAGCTCCTAACCCTCTATGTCCCTTAGTTTCCCCTTCAGTGCAATGGGGACAGTAATATTGACCCATCTCTTGGTTGGACTGAGTATTATTTAATGTCTGTCTGTAAAGTGTTTTGAGCTTAGACAGAGGGTGCTAGGGAAGGGCAAACAATTATTCTTAGAGCTGAGTCCAAATCATTAAGTGAGCATCTGGAGCTGAAAATTTTCTGTGTTTCCATAAGTGTTTGGATCCAGGATTCTGGTTCTGAACTATTAGAGAGATCAGGGACACTCATGGAGTTCTGATCCAGATTGGAACATTCCCCAACTTCGTGTTTGATTCCAAGATCTTTTGTTGGGTTCTAAGCTGCCTAAGTTGTGCTTCTTCATTATTTAAAATAATGTTTAGTATTAATAAAAAATATTTTAATGTAGATTAAAAATATAATGGGGAAAATTTCTAGCTTCATTAAAATTTTCAAGCTCTTTTTTTTTTTACTGTGCCTTAATTTTTGCCTTGAACAAAGTTGATCCAGTCCCTTTTACTCTATCCACCTCTTGCCAGTATCTATCATAGAATCA